ATTTCAATGTAAAATTTGCTGTGTGTAGCACTACGAGATGATGGGAAAATATGTCTGCAGATATTTTTAAAAATGTTTATAATTTCTGACCAGCTATCATATTTCATAGTGATGATAGTGAAAGTTGCCAAGACAAAGGTTTTCAGATATCACAAAAAAAAAAAAAAATGTGAAACTTTCCAATTAACGGAATTTTTGAAGAAATGTGCAGAAGTGATAATAAATGAAGATGATATGAGAAGGTTTTCATTGGGATGACAATGCCTCAATCATCAATCAACTAATGGATGAGAAACCTGTAGTATGGTTTTTAAATCCAGAGAATATTGCTATGTATAGTAAAGAATTTGACAAACAGGTTGTTGAAAATTAAAAGATTTTGATTGACAGTTTAATTGAAATTCTTGAAATAACAATTACAGAACTTGTACAATGGAACTTTTAACTGAACAAGATATTTTGTCTGTCTACAAAAAAGGAAACAGCTTGAACAACAATATTGAATAAAATATTTAATACAATAAACAAATAAATATGGAGCTTTTTGGAATTCTGATTCCCATAAAGTCATAGATAATTTATTATTTGATAAATAACTTTTTTTAATTTTTACATGTCATCTCATTAAACTGATAATCTAAAATCTGAAAATTTCAAAAATTCAAAAGTTAGGAGTCCCAATGATTCTATGTCTAGTACACTGTACTGTACAGTATTTAAATAAAGCTCCTCTCTCTACTTACACTGTTATAATTTCAAATGAAATTATTCAAATTCTTCATGAATGGCTAATATTGCATCAAACTCAACATTTTTTATGCCTTCAAAGAGAACATTATATACAGTTTCATTACTTGTGGAACATTGGAAGAACCAACAGATAACAAGGAAATATTACACAATCAAAAATGTTATGGCAAAGAGATTTAGCACTTATCATGAATTGCAATACATTTAAAAAAAGCTTAGATATTTACTTATGTTTAGTGTGAGCAGGTAGATCAAATAAATTAAAATAACTTACTGGGAATGTGTCCCTAATATTTTATTCATTCATATAAACATTCAATTTACAACATAAAAATTGAAAAAAAATTCCATTCAGTAAAAAAGTTGTTCAAGATATCACATTTTGTGATTTTATAAAATGGTTCTCAAATTTTGATAATGCAAAAAAATGATAGTAAAACTTACATTCTTTGTGTTAAGTGACATCAGTCAAGTTACATCGTTGAGAGAACAAAAAAAATTAAAGCTATAATAATATTCTGAGAAACTAATTAAGTACATCCCAGAAATCAAAGCTTTGTCAAATTATCTTGAAGACAAAAGTTATCTGTAGAATCTGAGAGGGAAGGACGGACGTCGCCAGAAGCTCATTTTTTAAAAACCCTTAGTCCAAACGATTATTCCATGCATTTCTTCTCAATTTTTATGAAACAAACCTTTAGAAAGGAGTTCAGCAGAAATAAAAAAATGTTGATGCAAAGAACTCTCTTGAAAGGGAGGCAATTTTAAAAACCAAGCTTTTTATTTTTATTTATTTATTTTTTTAATCTTAAAGGCATCTAATCATGGACTGAAAAGGTTAAGATGACATAAATTTAAAAAGATGTTTCACCTTACTATATATTTTTGAACATAAGCTTATTCATGTATAAGTTGGGTGGTAAGATTTTGTTGCAAAATTTCAGCTAAAACTGAAAAATTAGTAAAAGATAATTTGAAAATCCTACTCTAATTGTAGTTACATATACGGTAGACTCCCAATTATCTGCAGGCAGATTATCTGCGCCTGCTGCACAGTTTTTTTTTTTTTTTTTTTTTTTTTTTTTTTTTTTTTTTTTTTTTTTTTTTTTTTTTTTTTAACGAGCATAAAGCAAAGAAAATAAAAATGTTCACAAAACTGAGCGAAACGTTAAATTTGCTAACATCGTGCTTATTTATGGCAAAAATATCCCAGGCCTTCTCAGAAACTTCCTCGGCCCCTCTGATAAGTAAGTGATTTCTTACTCACCCTTGCAGTGCCCACTCCACCGCCCTTTCTCATCTTAATCTTACTCGCACGTCCACTTCTCCCACTCACCATTGTTAGTTTAAGCCTGATTGCGTTTGCGAACCGGTCTGAGTTAATTTCTTATCTTTTATTTGTGTTCAGTGGTTGTGTTTTTTAGTTTTGTGTTTTTCGTTACCGATTTAAAAATGTCAGGAAAACAAAAGAAGGTTGTGTTGATGATTGCGCAAAAACTAGAATTAATTTCCAAAGTAGCAAACAGCGCTACAAGGCAGCAGATGGAATTGGATTACGGAAATCGCGGAAACAACAGTGCGTGACATTCTAAAGCAAAAAAGACAAACTGGTGAACTTTGCATCAATGTCGGATAGTGCCCAAAGAAAACGCGAAAAAACTGTTGAAAGGGTTCTACCTTTGATGAGCTAGACACGGCATTGACAGAAGTGGTTAGCTTCAAGTTCGAAAAGAGGGTACTCCTGTAAATGGTCCTATCATTGCGGCGAAGGCAAAAAACCTTTTTTGAGTTGTTAGGCCTGAAAGGAAAAATTTTGATGCATCTTTTGGCTGGTTGACTCGTTTTAAGCAGCGACATGGAATTCGAGAAATTGGACTTCATTGGGAAGAAACTTAGTGGTGACCAACAAGCAGCCGACGATTTCCCACCATGAATTTGAAGAATTTGTTTTAAAAAAAGAGCTATCTTTTGAACAAATTTAAAATGCCAACGAATCGGGACTTTTGTCGAAATGTCTCCCACTTCGCACTTTAGCATTTGAAAATGAAAGTAAAGCGGCGGGTTATAAAAGCAGCAAGCATAGGATCACTATCATGTCTTGCAGTAAGGCTACCGGTGGACATAAACTTAGACTTGTTGTCATTGGAAAGTAAAAAAAAAAAAAAACTAAGATCTTTCAAAGGCACAAGGATAGATAATTTGCCCGTTGATTATTTTAACAAAAAAACAAAAAAAAAAAAAAAAAAAGGAATGGAGGGACCGAAACATTTTTCAAGAATGGTTCGAAAACATCTTTTTTCTTCAAGTGCGTAAAACATCTTAAATCAAAAACCCTGCCTGAAAAAGCTGTGCTATTAATCGACAATGCACCTTCTCACCCAGCAACACTCATGCTAAAATCTTCTGATGGACAAATTTTTGCAAAGTTTCTCCCCCCCCAAATGTTACTGCGCTAATCCAACCCATGGAACAAGGAATCATTGCAACAATGAAGAGAACATACGGAACCGAAGCTGCTAATGAAGAAAATTCGAAGAAGGTTATGATCTGAAAGATTTTTGGAAACACTACACAATCTTGGAGAGCATCTACGATATTGCATCTGCATGGGAGTCAGTGAAACTGTCAACCCTCAGAAAATCGAGAAAACTCATGCCTAATGTTGAAGCCAACAACAACCTAACCCCTTTGAGTTGTGAAGAAGAGAATGAAGCTATGTAGACATGCCCACAGCAACTCTTGCCGATATGGTGAAAACAGTTCCAGGTGGTCAGAACATCGATGCTGAAAACATTAACGAGTGGTTGGAGTGTGACGTCAACGAACCTGGCTTCGAACGCTTAACAGATGACGAAATTGTGAAGAAAGCAAGGGGAGAGACCGAGAATGAAGGACAGCAGTGAAGTGAAGGCGAAGAAGAGCCCACTGTGCAGATGCGGAGACTCACGAAGTGGCTTTGCAACAAGTCGAAGGATTGCTGAGCTATTTGGAAGAACAAGACGATGACGGAGTTGGCCGAGAAACTTATGCTACGAAAAATGCAATCTCGGATCAAGAGAAAATGCTTCCAAAGCACAAAGCAAACACAAATGACTGATTGTTTCAAAAAGGTTAGTTTTACAGTTATGCTTTTGTAATTACATAATACATTACAGTATTAAAACAGAACATATGTATTAATTTTTCTGTGTATCCTTGACGCCTCTCGTAAGTATACAAAGCACTTTTCTGTTTTCATTAACAAAATGCATTTTAGGTTAGTTTTCAGTGATATACTAAAATATTAAGGGTTAGTTAAAAATTTTCTGCTGTTTATTTTACATTTTATTGTATATAAAATGATTTTTCAAAGTTGGAATGACTTTTTTTTTCTTTTGCTATACCCGTTTTTAGCTTTTTTTCGGATTATCGCGATTTTTGTTATGTGCGGCGGCCACGATAATCCGAAAAAAAGCTAAAAACATGATAATCGGGATTGTACTGTATTACCAAACATTTAAGAAATTAGTGATTTAATTTTACATTTGTACTATGAGTTGAAGATGAATGCCAATTCACTTTAAGCTTCCATTCAAAAACAGGGAAGAAATCGCAGCTGAACAAAACAGCATTTTTGATACCAACAGTTTTTCAATTCTTCTGCTTTTGGATTGATACTTTGGAAAAAGTGTAGCAAATCTTACTCGGATCTTCAATTATGATAATCACTCTGAAGCTACAAGGCCTTTCATGTTTTCAGTTACAAGCTCATGGATACATTTTTATGAGTAAAATACTAGTCTTTATTTCTGCTACACGGACTGAATCAATGATAATATCACTTGCAAAGTGGATAACAACAATGTTTATTGTGTAAAATGGGTGGACTCAAACTTGTCTCTAGCACAGACAGACGTCTGAAAATTGTTACCAAATCATTTTGAACTCATATAAATCAACTTCTAAACTTCAGTAGAAAAAAATCAACTCACATTCATGGATATATATGATATTATACCGATGGCTACTTTTGAAATTCACAGGATTCAGAAACATTTCATATAATTTGATACTAATGCATATGTTAATTTTAAAATATGATTTTTATTCTTAAAATCAACTTTATTAAAATTAATTTATATTTTAGACAGTACATTACTATCCACTAATTTCTAGCATGATTAACTTCTTATAATTATGGCATTGACATTTTACCCTTTTTTAAATCATATTTGATAATAAAACTTCAATCAAACTATAATTTAACGCACCTCAGTACCATTCTGTTGATAATCAGGTAATGGAGGAAGAGGGGGTTGACCTTCAGGAGGTACTTTACCAGGCAAGTCATTATAATATTCAGGATCCTCTCCCCAGGCACAATCACTTCCATTGAAGACAGGATTTTCTAACCTGTAAATACATATATATTTATGCATGCATACAGATGCATATATATATATTAACAGTTTGAAATAATCAAATAAAAATGTTAAAAATACTAATCTTACATAGAACATGTTATTTTATTCAGAAAAGATATGATTAATGTCAACAACTTGCATGAAAATGTCCTTATGCCTCTTTATACGATATAGTTATAATCATTTTCCATCACTTTGTTTATGAATTAAACTCATTTCAATTAATTACGAAAAATCAGATAATTTGCAATTATTTTCATAAAATTAGTATGATCTTGACCACAACTGGTATGACGCCACTAAAAGAATGTTTTATTAGTATACTTGTATGAAAATTAATCTAGGTTGTACTAATTTAAAGAATTCAGTAATAGAGTAGAAAGAATTATTTTGAAATCTATCATTATTTCATATTCTAATAATACATTTTAGAAAACTGAACTTTTATTTGCAAGAAAGATCTTGAATGGATTCATCTGCTAAGTTCTTTCTCTTCTTGAGCTCTACAGCCTGCTACAGGCCAAAGCTGCCTCTCCGAGTTTTTACCATTTGACCCTATCCGGTACCACAGATTCCCATTGTTTATCCCTATCCAGTTTCAAATTCTTTTCAAAGCTATCCAGCCATCAAATGGGTGGGCGGTCTTCCTTTTCATCACTTCCCCTGTATTTTTGAGAAGGTTATCTTTTTAGTTGGAAATGCATCATCATATCTATAAATATGACCTAACCATCTAATATGAGAATTTGCTAAGTTAGGATTCCTTATTTTAAGGATTCGATTAATGATGACTAGAACTGTGACATCTAAGTAAGACTGAAATATGATTAACACAGAATCTATTGTTATACCAATGCAACAAAGTTTGTGAGCATGAACTTAACAACGTTCTCCTAAAAATACATCAGGTTTCGTACACATTTCTGCACACGGAAATTAAGTACTTTTGAGGACCATTAATGAAAAAATGAAGAACTATGAGCAAATGGGAAATGATAAATTCAATTAAAAATATTATCTATGCCTGAATTTCACTTCTGTAATACCATCCTAAAAATAAAATGGATCCCAAAGTAGTCTGCATTATACTAAACATGAATTAATTAACTAACTTATTAAGAAATTGAATAAAAACTTTATGCAATTTTAACAGTAGCATTAAAATATTACATTATAATAGTTGGAACTTGAAAGAAGATAAGCAACATTTACGTTTTATAACAAATAGATTTATGTTGATTTTTTTTTGTCGTATTTTGTCATACTCGTCACTCGGGGTATTAAATAGCAGGTATATAGTTTTTGTCAAGGGCATAGGTAAAAAATGAGAAGACAAGATAAATCAGAATGATTCATAACAAAAGACTGAACGTCACCACTGCTGATTGTCCAGAGAGAGCAGGCAGATTCGAAAAACTGAAAGGCCTGATGTAGGCACGGTTACAAGTGTTGAAATTTAGTCAGGCTCTGTTTGATGCAATTAGTGATGCTTTGTGTAGAGTTTCAGAGGTTGTAACCCAGTTAATATACTTTAAGGTCCCAATAAGTCATTAAAGCACCAGAGGTGATAAGTTGTTTTGTATTGTTTTAAGTCTCACTAGATGCAAAGAATAAGTTTTACTTGAATGTTTACATTTTTGAGTTTTACCTTGTGACCAAAGTGAGTATTAATGAAAGGTAACAACTCTCTTTAATATGTAGAGATAATTTTTAAGGGTAAGCAGTTTATAATTGAATAGATTAGGTAATTAGATAACCTTAGTCATTATGGATTTACATGGCCACTATTAAATTTTATTTTTTAACAATGTTTGTTAAAAATCTATAAAATCCCCCATTTAAAGAATTCACAGTTTAAAATACTGTAATTTATGACATTGTTCTTAAAAAATATTAGGATAATACACATAAAAGCTACAAAACATTTATGTTTTGTAACAACACTCAATAAAATGTTTATCCATCATTTTACTTTGAAGCCTTCCCAAACATTCTGGCAAGTTTATATCAATCTCCTTCTCTTTAAGCATCTTTTCTAACAATGAGAGATTTGTCTCAATATGCAAACCAATGCTGTCGCTAGTTTCTGCGTGCTTTATTTCCTAACTTACCAACCTCTCCACAATGTACACTGCAGAAAAAAAAGGGGGGGTCAATTGTATAGCTCCTGTTCTACTGGGCCAAATGATGAAATTCAAACTGCATTCTTCATGTCTCGAAAGAGCGACTTCGGATATATATTAGATTTATATATAGCATCATTCTAACATACGCAGTTTTACACAAAATCAAAATTTTTCTGAAATAAGATGCCCTTTTTTTTTGCATATTTCGATTCTAAGACTTAAATTATGCCAGACTACCAAGTTTTATAAAAATTGCATGAGTAGTTTTTAAAAAATTAGCTCCTCAATGTTAATTTGAATTTGGTGTATATTTAATATCTCGTTTTTTAGTAAACTTTTTTTATTCTTCCTTTCACATTTCGAAATTTAGGTTCCTTCCAAATAAAATTCACCCATTTTTATGATTTATTTTTTAAAATTTTTTTAAAATAATTTTTATAACATTTTTCAAAACATTTTTGATTATAACATATAAAATTTATCATCTTAAAGTAGGTGTATCTAAGATACCCGCAAAATTTATACTTTAATTCAAAATTCAGATATACACGAATTTACAAAATTTGCGCAGTTGAAATGACTCTTTTTCGAATGATAATATGCCAATGTGGTTTATGGATTTGTTACAAGAATTGCACCGCTATATTTACCTTAATTCATTAATTTTTTATGGAGAATTATTATATGAATTTTTTCCTCGTGATGCGTAATAAATTTATTAATACTATATGAAAGCTATTTTTTTTAACCTTTTCACGTGGGCTCGAAAATGTGTGTTCCTTACTGGGGGCTCTTCGCTCAGCGGTTAGGGAAAGGGGGTAAAATTTTCAGATCGAGTCTTAACAATGAGGTGTTAGTGCTATTTTGTTGCCAAGCAGAAGAAACGGTCAGCATTTCTTTTCGGTCCAGTTCCAAGCTCTAGGCGATAAATGAAGGAAGTATTCTAATCGCCTTCACACTGCAGATAGATGATGCAGTTTTCCCACGAACGTAAATTTGTTTTTTCTATTTTCAGACGAAATGTTTTATGCTACAAACTGAAACAATTTTGTCATTTGTTTTTGTTAAAATAACTTTTTAAAGTTTTGCACATGGTTAATACTGAAAAATAAGCGAAGTAATCAAAGTTACCTGTATTGACTTGTCACAGTATAGAGAATTTGTGATTTAAAATATTCAAAACATATCTTAAACAATATATAGATTTTCATTTTAAGTATATAATTATTCTGATATTGAAGAGCAATTAAATAAGTTTAAGTTACAAGTGTCATTTAGAAAGCATTTTCGAGTTCCCAAACGAGTGTTATTGGATTTACACTTCTGTAAAATTCATATCTGGAGAAAAAGAAATTGATAACTGTGTTTGTGCTGCATTGAATCGTTATTGAACAACACTAACAAACATGCACTGAATTTTTTTCAATAAACTTTTCTTTCATGTGACGTTGCAAAATAGCGTTCCCAGGCTTGATCTGCCTTCATATCAGGGATATAAGATCTTTAATTTTTTTAACCGCTTCACAGTTTTTGGTTCAGTAAAGAAATGCAGGAGCAAACGCTGGAGGTTGAGTTTCAATGTATTCAATAACAAAAATTTAGGTTTACCACTTAGAGATATTATATATTGCTTTTACCTTAGAATGGAAGGGAAATAGTTGTTCATCGATTTATATTGGTGCATTTTTTCTTTTTTAAAGCAAAATTGCATATTCAGGAACATTAAATTTAAAAAATAAAGATTTTGTCGAAGGAGAAATATTTCTCTAGTTTTTATCTACATTTTCAGAATGCTAAAATGGCTTTGAGGTATCGATTGTTATGCGAAATTTCAGATCTCAGCATTTTGTTGCTTTCTTTCAGATAATGAAGCTCGGAATGAAGATTTGTAGAGTTGATGAATATTAATAAAGAATAGTACTGAGGATTAAATTAGGGAACTAAAAATAGTACACATTCAATTACCTTACTCCTTAGTATCCTAATTATCGTTTGATTTCCCCAAAATAAATTCTCACTAAAAAGTAATACTTTCTGAACACTACCTGTGACTGAGTGGTCGGACCATGAATATGGTAGCGACCTAAGTTTCGAGGCCCGCGATGGATGGCCGCATGGTTGGTTTCGTTGTTTGCCCCATGTGAAAGGTGAATACGAGATAGTTTTTCCTTTAAGTTCTCCTGAAGGCATCCTTTTCCTTAGAAGGGCAGCCTTCGTGTGTTTCTCAGTTAATTAATCTAAACTAACGTAGCTACTTTCGAAGAATTGATACAGATTCATTCTCGATGCAAACATATAGAAACTTTTTAATTTGAATTATAAAATGTTCTTTACTAACTGCTTAATAAAGTTGTGTTTAATTTATCGCACGTCGAATTCATTGTCATCAAAATTATTCATACAAGGAATGTTTCTAATATAGTTATGAGATGCCATATACAGAGCTTTCTTATTTCAAATAATTTTATTTTCATTCTAATTAAGAAAGATTATTGCCTCTCGAAGGGGGCCTTTCGTGGGGCGTTCGTAGGATTGGCTCATACATGAAGAATACGAAAGGTTCTGCAGGCAATCCGTTCTTCGAATTATGAACCGGGTGAATATTAAGGTAAAGAAAATAGCCGCTCAGCTAGTTATAATTTTACAAATTAACAAACCAAATTTCACTCAAGTAAACAGAGTCGTGGAATGTATGTCATTTAGAATAGCATTAAAATTAATTTCATCACCTGAACGTTTATATCATTATACTGGCTTTGCATCACATTAAACTGGAATAAATTGAATAACAATTACAAAAAGAATGAAACAAAAAATTTTTTATGTTTAGCCATTATTTAATACGACTCGAAAATGATAAATA